TGCATGTTGCAACTGCTGCAAGAAGTTTATATCGCCAATTACAAACCTCATATAATGATGCATCTAAGATAGAAACAAAAATATTGAACGATATTACACGCACAATTGGCACAATAAAACCATTAATTGCTTGGTTAAATCGTGCACCATTTCGTGGTCAAAAACAATTTACCGAAATATGTCGAAATATGCTGCGTTTGGGACTGGAAATGGCGACGATAGCACAACGTGATCGCTTTGTTGAAAAACCAGTCGAACAAATCAGGAATACAGCTGAAAAATTAGAGCGTTTAGCTAATTATATTATACAAGATATAACCGACCCAATGCTTCTCCAACCTGCTGCACTCAATTTGGTAACACTCAAAAAACGTGAATCGGAATTAGGCTTTAATATAGAACCAACAAGCACCAGTTTCCACGGCGTGCATCGAGTTACTGACATAAAATATAACTCACCTGCTCATCATTCTGGCAAAATTGAAGATGGCGATGAAATTGTGCAAATAAATTATCAAACTGTAGTTGGTTGGCAATATAAAACAGTTTTAATGCAATTACAGGAATCATTACCCGACGTACTTATAACGCTTAAAAAGCGACCTAAGCACACAAAAATTTACGGTCAAATTTATATGCAACCATACAGGTTACCGAGTAAAAAGCGTGCAATTGGTACACGCTGGGGCGAAAACTTACCAAGTCCACGAGCCGGTTTTCTAACAGTACCTGATGGTACAGCATTCAATATGCCAATATCTTTAAAAGCTGAAGAGAAAAATAATGCACAACATGTGTCTGACACAGACTCAAGTTGTAGTGATATATCAACACCAACCGATGCTAAAGCATCTGAAAAGGAAATACGTCTATATTATCCAAAGCCGAGAGCAATGTTGCAGCGCCGAAACACAATTTGTGGTGATGAATTTTTAGGACTAAAATGTGGTGATAATGCCCCATTGTGGCATGAACGAAAAACTGGTGCCGTATGTGATCCTGCTTCACCCAGCTTACGCGATAAATCCATATCATTTGGCTTTGGTTTAGAAATAACTCCGCGACCCACAACATGTATAGGTATCGCGGGCAACAGCTCAAATAAATTTAGTAGTGTTTTTAGTGATACGAAAAAACTTCGTCAAGTACCTGAGGTGGTTGAACATAAAGTAGAAACAAAGGATGATTCAAAACCGGGAATCAGTAAAGTAGTTCGTTTCGATGCAAACATGAAATACGAGGACTATCCAGTCGATGAGAAGTACACATGTAATGTGGAAAATACACTTTTAGAAACATTTGAACCGATACTGTTTGTTGATGAGGAAGACGATGCTCTTGATAAATTGCACAATTTTAATGAAAAGTCTGAAGATATATTAGAAATTTTAGATAAAAAATCTAATGCAAATTCTACATCACTGACAGAAGCTGTAAATATGCCATTAATAACAAGAAGAGGACGTTTAGATAAGAGTCATAGTACACCGGCGTATGATAATTCTGGTGAAGAATCTGATACTCCACCAGCAATTGAACCGCGTAAAGAATTCTTGTTATTAACACCACCTGTACCGCCGCCTAGACCTAGAAAACAAAAAGATCTAACACCCCCCATTGTGCCACCACCACCACCAAAACCTGCCAGTTTAATGTCACATCCGCTCACACCACCACCTTTGGCGACTTCCAATATTGTTAATGATTTAAAATCAAACGATTTTTTTCATTCCAATGTGAAAATAACACAGCCAGCAGTTAATGTTGATGCGATTCTGGAAGTAAATGAATTGCATACGCCAACTAAGAGCAGAACACTAACATTGAAGAAGAAGCACAGCTTAGTCTTAAAACGACGTAACGTCAATTTAAAAATATTAGGCACCGGCGACATACAGGGTCATTTGTATCGTCGCACAAAAGATCGAAGAGGTGTAACATTTTGGGCACGCTTTTACTTTGTAATGTTGGATACAATACTCTATGGTTTCCGTTTAAAAGAAGCGATCAAAGCCAGCTGTGTTATATTTTTGCCAGGTTTTACGGTATCTTTGGCTAAGGTTTGTGATACTTTTATATACTATTATTATCAAAATCGCATATCAACAAATAGAAGTGGTTGACTTTCCAAATTATATAAATAACGGCACACGAGCTCTATAGCTGCCGTAATAGAATTGTGTGCAATAGAATTGCGTATTGAGTTCATCTTTGACAAATAAAGGGAATAGATCGTCTATATTAGCAAGTTTTTTTGGTAGATAAACATTAAGGTACTGTGTTGCAAAGAAATTAATTTACCTGTCACCTGTTATTTCTGTAAATGATATGATTGATAATTTTGCTAGAATATCAATTGGTACAATAGATTATTCCTCGAACCGCTTTCTGAGGTAAGCAGTCTATTCTTATTTGAATAGATCAAGCAAAATAAAAAAATTTATAGACTTGTCAGATTAGTTCACTTGTATGGTTGCTTGTATGGTGCATATGAACAACACTAATCCGTAGTATCACAATGTGCTTTTACAGGAGCTCAAGTGGACTTTAGCTATAAGGACGCCACTCAAACTTAACCGTATCCGTGTTTATAGATCGCAAGCTTAACACATATTTTTTTTCTGAACCATTCGTCAGTTTAAATAGCCTGCGTTTTCGGCTCAGAGTTTGAGAAGTCAATGGTTTGGCTCGATAATTCGGTTCAATTATTTTTAAAACCCAGATGTTCTGATTCGAAGCAGTTTCGGTTCAGCACCTATGCACTCTTGTTAAAAGTTTACGTTTGGTAACAGTACATGAGGTTCTGTTAAGAACTGGCCCCACATGTTTAGTTGATAAGATTGGGAGAAGTTCTTATGTACAAGTTACAGAAACTTGTTTTAATGTGTTTAAGAAAACAGGATTTTATACGAAAATATGAACCAATCAGAAAATCTTTTATGTATCTATTAAAATAGAAACACCGCAGCACATCTTATTAGGTTTTACTAGTCCTAATTATCGATACAAAATGTGATAATACATTTTGTAACAACAATGCTGATTTACGCGTATATTAATTTTTTTAAATTTCTTATTATGTTTTCAGGAAGTTCATTCAAAACCTTTTGCCTTTAAAGTGTACCACTCAGCGAAAACGTTTTACTTTGCTGCAGAATCATTGGATGCGCTAAATCAATGGATTGATTTTATACGCCAAGCAACTCTTCAATCCCAAGTGACAACAAACTCAATAAACCGCATTGATTCAATAAACAGTGAAGCAAATACAAAAGATTTATTTTCTGAAACTGACAGTTCAGGAGAAGAAAGTGAATCAGTGATTTCAAAAAATCTATGTACGCCATCACCACAAGCAACTAAAGATAATACAACATCTTCAATTAGTTCAAAGTCATTTTCAACACCAACTGCACCTGCAGTCAAGCAAGATAGACGATATTTAGGATCTTTACGTAAACTCACCAAAGGAACTCTACCATTTAAGAGTTCCTCGACTTCTGAAAAGAAATCATCTAGTGATATACCAGTGCCTACCGAACAATACCGCAGTTATCGGAAAGTACCTGGTGGTAGTTTTGGTATACAAATTGGTACTAACACACCAGGCTACCATGATACATCGTTACATCCTTTCAATACTGTTCTAAATTGTAACACAACACCGGAAATTGCTATGCCTGAAAGAAAATATTCAATCTCAACAAGTTCAGTGGCAAGTAATAGCGATTCGAATATAACATTATATGGACCACCATCATCACCAGCACCAGCACCAACACCAACACTTAATCAGTCAATCGGATTATCACCTTCCATTATGGCTAACAATAAAAAAGACCATCAATTCGATAGTCCCACAAAATCAATTAAGAAGATACCATACAATTTCATACATGCTTCAAATCCAAATTTAGTGGAATTTGATTTTCAGACATCGAAAACATTAGATTATTCTTTGCCAAAAATTAATCCATCAAATTCATGGGATGCACACCAAAATGTACAGGGATTTGTGACGCTCAAAGATCTTATGCTACAGAAACAAGAAGAGGAAGCACAAGAGATGTACAATAATCGAGTATTATTGGGTGTAGAAAAGAAAGATGAACGTAAACGCAATGCTCAACGACGTTTGGATAACAAACAGCAAGATGGTGGGAATGCACAAATGCGTCCAGAATTTATTAAATTGTCAAAGACGCAAAGTAGAAGTTTGCCAAAAACTCCCGATTATGAAATTAGCTTTAAACCAGATGATGAAGATATCAAACGCACACGTACCAAGGAAGGACTTAAGCTAAGGGATTTTGGTTATGAACTCATATCTGGGGATGAACCAATTACAAACTCTACAACAGCGCGTCAAAATTCGAACACATCCAATAGTAGCGCAGATCAACAACATGAACACATGTTATCGTCTGCAGTTAAAACGCGACAATTTCTCAAAACCCAACCATTTCTGCCTCTGACACAGAAAACTAAAAAGCATTCCACTTCATCTGCCGATTTTGTGATGAACGAGAAACGCACCGGAAGTTTTAAAAAAAAGGGAAAATTTGATGTTGTCAAGACTTCGAGTGAGCGTATCTTTCAATTTTCCAAACATGCCACTTCATCTTCGTCGGCCATGACAATGACATTGCCACTGAACAAGAAAAATGGTAACCGCACTGATGAATCAAGAAACAGTGGAGGTATTAAAAAGAGTCATACATATAATACAGATCTTAAAGATAAGCTAAATACAAAATATGATGCACAACGAAAGAATTCCGCTCCAATGCCAATCTTTTCAAAATTGTCGTTTTCATCAAGCTCAACATCGTCACAAAACAACAAACCTGCAAAAGAAAAGAAGTTACTTGGTTCACCTTTGCTACATCGGACGATATTCGGTAATCAGCATCATAACATTGACTCGCCAACATGTACAGGACGTGAGTATGATCGCGAGATCTTCACTCAAGTAATATTTCCACGAGTGCCAAATCCACATAGCGATAACACGCACAAAGCACGTAATTTATCAACCTCAAATACCAATATAACTGCACCAGATATATTAGCGCCTCCCCCACCAACCATTATACAAACGCCTCCCTTAAATACACACGATCGTAATAGTGGCACATGTAATGCAACGCCAGATTATCCAAGTATGGAAAACATCTTACCGCCAGTATTTCAGCCAGAAATCTACTCACTCAGTGATCCCAATGCGAGCATAACACTCTTGTTAAGACGGAATAATAGTAGTGGCACTGATGAAAGGAATTAAGTAATTCAAGCCCATGAGCTTTATACACACATATATACATATTTATATATATATATATATATGAACGAAATTAACAATTTAGAAATTTGTTTGTCTTCCCTAAGTTATATACATTATCATAAATTAGTACTAAAATGTAATTATTTGTAAAATAAAAGATTATATTATTTTTAAATATACATAGTGTAACCATGAAAAAACCCGATATTTGATTTTTAAAAATTATTTAAATCTTCTCTGATTTTAAATCCTTTTTTATTATTTTTTAGCAATTTTACCACAAATGACATTTAAAAAAATTAATGAATTTAACTTGGAACTAAGCTAACTTAGCAATTATATCTTCAACTTCTTGTTTGGTGTACATTCTAAACAATTTATCTGGTGTCATGGTCATTACCTCAACATTCGTGGAATTAAGCTTATCTTCCATAACCTGTTTTAAGGTATTCAAAGCCAAATCTAATGCATCATTTAAGCTCATCTCTTTCGTGTAGTTGTCTTGCAAATTTTGCTGAGCTCCCTCACTACCGGAACCAATGGCTTTTGCAGAATAACGTAAATATGTACCAGATGGATCCATATGCCACAATTGTGGTTGACCCTCGTTAATACCTGCAAACAATAGTGCAACACCAAAAGGACGACTCATTGCAGATCCTCCATCACCACTATCACCAAATTGTATAGCCAAAGTGGATACTGCCTGAGCGCAAGACTCAATGGACATGGATTCATTGTATGTAAACCAATGATTTTGACATTCAACGCGTGCACGGTCAATTAATGTACGAGCATCAGCCATTAATCCAGATGTAACACAACCGATGTGCTTATCAACTTCCACAATTTTTTCAACTGAAGTAGGTACCATTAGTGGTGAAGTAATGCGCTTTTCAGCGGCAAGCACAATGCCTATAAAAAAAACATTTTTTATACTCATGTAAAGGAATACATGATAAAACTTTATATTATACCTTCATTTGTGCAAATGCCGATAGCCGTAGAGCCCAACTTAATTGCTTCAATGGCATACTCGACTTGAAACAGTCTGCCTTCTGGTGAGAAGGTGTTTACGCCTCTATCGTATTCAGCTCGTGTTAAAAACATCTGTATTATATATTTTAAATAAATAAATTTTTAAATATTTATGCAAACTCACTGTTGTATCTTAGATTTGTAGGATTTGTAATGAATAAACTAAAATTGATACAATAGCGGCCAGAATGACAAAACACTTTTGCGGCGGCTGTTCTCTGCTGTTAGGCAGTGCAGCCAACTCGATTAAAAATGAATTGTAATAAGTACAGTACAAATAACACTCCAAAAATTTTGACAACTAATACATGATGCGTTTATTTGTTACTCAATATAACATCATTTTAAAAGCTTGATACAGTGTATTGTTGTATTTTTAAAAATATGAATAAAATACATGGCTTAAAATAGGGTCCAAGAAAATGCATAATTTAATTCTCTTATTTTAATTAATTTTCAATATGATTCGTTGACAAATATAATGTTTATTTTTCTCATTCAATTAACAAAAATTGTTAAACTATTTTGTTGGGTTAAATATTTCGAAAATTCGAACAATGTGTTTATGTAGATGTTAAACCTTTTATTTTTTCTATATATCTGAATTACGAAAATAGTACTGTATTTGGGCATTTATTGTTCATTACAAATTCCTTAGAAATTATTTCAAAACGATTTTTATGTTTTCTATCCACAAATAAAAATGGAAATTTCAAGACAAAATTAATTGCAAAAACAAGCTAATTAGGATAATGTAAATTTGCTTTAAGCGTAAATAGGTAAAATTTTTCAGAACGCAATCTGTCAAATGATTTATTTTAGCCAATAGCAAATCTTGCATATGTGCACATAATGCAATCAAATTGCATTTTGTATAAAAATAAATATTAGGAATTCTTCTGATGAAGGCAAAAACGAATTTGCCAAAACACGTGTAGAGATACACAATCATAACCTTCGAAATAAAAGTTTGAAATATTAAAAAAAAAAACAAGAACCGCCTTACAAAAATAAATAGTTAATATAAAATTGATAATTAAAACAGATACTGAATCAAAGGAATAGTAAAAATTTTGGAAATTTCAAAATGAAACTGACATTTTTTCTTTTTCGCAATTTTCAAATTTATGAAATTTTTGTTTACATATGATATTTGACTGCAATATTCGTTGCAGTTTCCAATGAAGGTTAACAATAGTTCGCTTATTGCGTTGGTAACACTTGTTTCTTTATTGGCCGAAATATGTGGCTAATACATAACTACTGGCTTACACAGAGAAATGAATGTTTTTGTTTTGCGTACATTTCGGCCAGTATACATAAAATACATCTAAAATTTGTGTTTTACCTGAAACCTAAAAACATGCCTTCTAGCGTGAGCAATGATTTTTGTTTTTTATTAACACAATTATTTTTATAAATAATTTTGGTTTTATTTTCATCCCAATAAAGTTCTTATTTAAAACCATAACGAGCTACGTTTAATATACAAAACGCTGTGGAAAATATATTTCTTATGTTACTGTTGTAAATAAAAAAATTTATATTAAAAAATGGTTAAGAGAATTTACACGATTTATTATATTTATTTTAACATTAAAAAAATTCTTAAAAAGCACTTTATTTATAAATGGTAAAATCAGTTATCTGTCATTTTGTATGTTAAATAATTACATTGCATGAAAAGAGGCAGCGAGTATCACATCTACTTAACGTTTACATTTGACAGTTTTGCAAATTTGTATTGTTTGTAGTGCAAATTTTTTTGTGATTTTAAAAGCTTGTAGTTCGTGAATTAAATTAAAATTTGTTAAGTGAAACGGTTAAAATAATTGAAATGGCCGATGAAAACGATAATTCTGTGGATAAATCCATGGATGATAACGAAGCGCCTAAATCTGATAAAATGTTTACATTGAAAAAGTGGAATTCGGTTGCTATGTGGAGCTGGGATGTTGAGTGCGATATCTGTGCCATTTGTCGTGTCCAAGTTATGGGTAAGTCTTATAAATTGTATATAAATATTAAATAATTGTTTGAAGAAAGTTTAATAATATACATAAACCAATGCAATATAATCTTCGTTTCGAGTTAGCCTTCAGCGTTGTTTCTATTCCCTGATATGTATAATTTCTTTAAATTAACAGTTATGCCATTTTTTATATATCCAGAATTCAATATTTCACAATTTTTTAAAATGACGTGATATTTCAAATTCTTGGAATATCTGTTTATACAAAGGAGATGTAGTGAATTGCATAAAGAACTGCAATTGAACATTATGTATGTGAAATAGTGTTTGAGTAAACTTAATAAGGTATATATATATTTCAATTTATAAGCTAATATTCACTAAAGTTATAAGAAACAGTAGTGTTCGACCGATTTTAGAAAAACTGGCTGAATTCACTTTTTCCTAATGAAACTCAAATGGTTGCTGAACGGCATTTGTGCGCTAAAGCTATTTCTTGACCTAGTCTCGATAAGGTTATTATCAGTGGATTTATTACATTAATATTTATTAATTATAATATTAATTCTGTAAAGAAACAATTGTCCACTGTAATCTTTGATATATATTGCATAATGATTAGAAAAGAATATCCTAAACTAACATGAAGAAATCAAAGTTAGTAATAATCTTTAAACTAACTACCGTTAACCAAGGCATCTCTTTATAATGTAATCCTCAAAGTTAACAAAACGTTTTTTTAAGTATTCAAACATGCAAGAAATTCAGCGAAAATAAGTATGGTATATGTTATAGCGTGATTTTTATTCTATTCTCGAATTTCTGCAAAGCAACAAGATTGCTACAGTTCTGCCTGAGATTAAAGATATGCTCATAATATCCAAGTCAACATGGACCTATTGCACTTTACATGTAGATAGAGGTCCGTTCTATCCCCTGTTTTATTCTGCATTTGTTTATAATTAATCGATTTGTGAAAACTCAACACGAATATAACATAAAATTTTGTTGTAACAAATTAGTTATATATTGTATTCTCCTTGAGCTTCAATTTCTTGCTAAATGGTTTTTTGTTGAGATCCCTACTTGAAAAATATTTGTATGTTAAAACCTTTATGTGCTTTGTTATTGTTGGGATCTGAAACAAATCTTGAAGTGCTTTATGTATTATTTTTGTATATGGGTCTATCTTCTAAAACGAGGCAACCTTATTTCTTCAAATTGCATTGAATTTTGTGCTCTTTGCCTATTTATTATATGTTGAATCTTCCTGTCTTCTACTTTTGTATCGTTTTTTCAAGTTCCACCTATATACTTTACTCACTTGTTTGAGTAGATACATTTTTATCTTTTTATGCCATTTGGTAGTTTATTAAGATAATATAGACTTTAATTATAGAGGGACGATCATTATAAGTGACAAATAGTTTCAATCCATAAACCCATGGATGCGCTTAAAATCAATTAAAGTTAGATATGTATACCCTTTATTGATTTCTTACTGATATTTTCTTATCGGAAAAGAGTTGGTTGAAATTCTAATTCAAAAATACGCTAAACGTATTAGATTCATATTATGATTAGATTCATAATTCAACTTTGATATTATTATATTTGTTTGTTTCTTGTTGCAGCGAGACAATGATATATTATTATTATTACTTAACACATTATTATTATAATAATATAAATTATTGCACAGTAATAGATGTAAAAATATGTTCAAAATTAACAAGAACTGACAATATTTTAATATAGCCAAAATAAAGCAAGAACAACTAAAAACGGTTTCTTATATATAGGTTAGGTTAGTTTATCCCAAGGGGATTAGGTCTATAGGCTCATTGTGCTACCGTATTATTAAAAACTCAAGGGCTAAAACCATTTAGAACCTTTGACGAAGCTTATGATGCTATTCAAAGGGAGGTCCTAAAATTCGCCAAGATCCTCATAAAAAAAGCCCCTAAAGTATTAAGGCGGCGAGGCGCATATGCCGGACAAAAGCAAAGCAGGTTGGCACTTTCATCGTCCTTACCACAACTGAGGCAAATATGGTTAGAAGAGAGATTTAGTCTTCTGGTATGGTTACCTAGAATACAGTATGTTAGTAAACATACTGCAAGACTGATATCTTTACGGGGCATATCTATAAAAGAGTTTGATTTTCTTCTATTGGTGTGTGCCCGAATTGCATACAGATGCCTGCATATCGTAAAGTCTTCCCATCTTTTATTAAAAAGTTCGGCACAGGAAGAACCTAATACCATTTTGCTTTCTTATATATAAGAATTTTTAAAGTTTTAGTATTATGTTGGATTGACTAGCATTAAAAACAATTTTAGGGACCAAAATCCGTTCTGTAATTGCGTTATCCTTATTGCTAAAGCTACGTTTGTTGTGCGTTATAGTTCATCTGGTGTAGATGTTGTTTGTGTTTTTTTCGGTACTAAGTTGGAAGAGATGTGCAGTTCAGAGATTTGATCATATTTTAAGAATGGAGGGGCCCATGTCCAAATAATTATTCTGTATATAACTGTCTATAAAAAATGAAAAACGCAGAGAAGTTATTGACTTATAGATGACGCAGTTGTTATAGCATTTAGAAATTAAAGAATTTTAGTGAGAAACATTTGAACTCTGAAAGTTTATAGAGAAGTGACACAACCTGAGTTGTAGAGCTTAAAATGATAATGATGAAATAACATATTCGTTCTGTTTTTCTATAGACTTTGTAGCATTATGTCAGTGTAGAATCTGTTGACAATATGTCCAAAAGAAAGCAATGCCTAATAAGACTTTTTAAAAGAGCTATATTGTGGTATAAAATAATGAAATTTCTTCATTATAATTTTCTTAACAATTTTATGATATATTCTTGTTATGTTAATGTTATTTAATTTAAAATTAATAATCATTCTGTTTATCTGTAGCTTATGTAGAATTCTTTCTGCGTAGAATCAGATAATAGTTTATCCGGAAGAGAACAAGGCCTATTAAGGCATTTTTGAAACAGATATATTGTGGCAAAAAAAAAAAATGAAAACTCTTCATTATAATTTTGTAAACAGTTTTATTACATTTTGCTGTTATTTATTAATGCTATATAATTTAACACAAATTTTATGTAATTTTTTTTTAAATACTAAAACTAAATAATTTTTAACAAATACAGATACTATACTCGTTTAGAAGTGTTAACACACTTATCTTAATAAATTAGAAAGGAAATTGCTGTCTAAAATTATGAGTAAAATTTCTAATGACTACGATATACCTCAATAAGACTTAAGTAAAACTACGATCGAATATATTCATTATAATTAACTAAATATAAAAAAGATGCATCACATTTTATGTAAAGCATGATATCTCAATAGCGCATAAATAAGTATAAATATATATTAACATGCTCATATATGTATATATATGTATATATCTAACAATATCATACAATATATAATTTTTAAACTAATATTCTGATTCAAAAGAAAGCAAATTCGTTAACTAACACAGCTTTATGTTTCACAGCTATAAATTCTCTGGCACAAAAGCTTACGAACTGCAACCAACTACTTAATCCTAATTTTTGGTTTAATTTGTAAATAAATTTTAAGTTTCAGCTGCTTAGCTTTTTCTCAACATTTTTTTATATGTTAACACACTTTCACACTTAATCCACACGAACGAACGAACAATCGACATCAATTACATATTAAATGAGAGTGGTTTAATATTGGCCACTGAAGACATTCTTCTCACGCGGCCCATCATCTTGCGTTCAATATCTTCAAGTGATTTGCCTTGCGTTTCAGGCACATAGAATATCACAAAGAACAGGCCAACAAAGCAAATTGCGCCAAAGAGCCAAAATGCACCATGTGTACCCATTGCCTCTGTTAGAAAAGAGAGTATAAATTATTTCCCATTCATATTAAGATATGAAATATTCTAGTTAAAACTTACGTATCATATTGTTAAAAGTTTTTGTTACAATAAATGTACACGTCCAGTTAAAACCTGTAGCTACGGATGCTGCAGATCCGCGTATTTTAGCTGGTAAAATTTCACCCATCATCAGCCATGGAATTGGTCCGAAACCGAGTGAAAAACCAACAACGTAAATAACAAAACTAGCCAAAGGCAGCCAGCCGACATTAGAAACATCCATACCATTAGTCTTACAGTAGAAGAAACCACCAAGAACAAATAGTGTTACTATCATAGCTAGATCGGATATATAAAGTAATATCTGAAAGTGTAAGAGAAGCAATTTTGTTAGAAATATGTTTGTTGAGAAAATGTAAATAACATTCTTACCTTTCTACCCAAACGATCAATGAGTACAGTAGCAATAAATGTTGCCATAAAGTTAACAATGCCAACAATAATTGTACAAACATTACTATCAATTGTGGAACCAGCATCTTCAAAGATTTGCACAGTATAGAAAATAACAGCATTAATACCGCTAAGCTGCTGGAAAAACATCAGACCCAGAGATATTGCAAGTGGTTTTAGATTATTACGTTTAAGTAATTCTAACATTGTATTTTGTGTTGCTTGTCTATCAGCATCGGCTTGTGATCGCATAAGGCCTTTCAATTCTGGTTCAACATCAGCTTTTCTGCCTCGTAGCCATATTAGCGCTTTTCTAGCACGTTCCTCACGATTCCGTGATACAAACCAGCGTGGAGTTTCAGGTATCAGGAACATTAATATGAGAAAAGGTACGGGTAGTGCACCACCCAAGAAAGCCAACATAGACCAATCCATATATGTACCCGCCACAAAGCATATCAGTATACCAATATTACCGAATGCAGTTGGTAGTAAGCCTAAGGTACCACGTACTTCTGGCTGTACAGTTTCACCCAAATATACAGGTAACGATAAAGATGCTATGCCAACACAGAAACCAGCTAAAGCACGTCCAGCTAATATCATATCCACATTAACAGCGCAAGCGATTAATAGCCATGATATTATAAATGGCACAGCTGTTGCTAAAATTGTGTTTCTACGTCCCAAGTATTCAATGAGCGGACCGCCAGCAATACCGCCTGTTAAACCTGCTAGTGGCATAAGTCCTCCTACCCATGATCCCTAGTTTTTTAAAAGAAATTTTATTAAATATTTTGTCAGGTATATCAAATTGTTATATATAAGTTATATATAAATTATATATATACATTCAAACTTCCATAACTCAAAGTACCATTTTGCTAAGAAAAGGTTCGACTTATGCAGATTTCGAGTTAAAGAATTTTTTTTGATTGTATGTAATTTGCCTTCTAAACCCTGTTGCACTCTATTAAGTTCGAGTTATGGAAAAATTCGAGTTATAGAAGTTTGAGTTATGGAACTTTGCATATTATATATGGTCTATAAATATTTTATATATGTTCCATAAATATTTTATAATTATAATACATGTATACTATTTATATACTTGTATAAATAGTTGAAGGGTGGAGGGGTTACTTGTAAAGCCTATAGTAACAAGTGATTAGTAGGTAATAATGTTCTAAGGCTTCAGGTTCTTATAGCACTGTTTAATATTATGTTTATATATATGTTAAGCCGTTATATTTGAAAGTAATATTGGTAGATTTCTAATAAAAACAATTTAATGGATATATTTTGGTAATATATAGATATCCTAATTTTATATACATAAATTTTTAAAAAATTAATAAATAACAATATTCGTTAATTAATACGAATCTCTAACTTTTATCATATATGAAAAAAAAATCTTATACAATGTCTAAATATAGCGGCTCAACAATATATAGCTTAGATTGCAGATTCATAATAATCAAGTTAATTAATTTTTAAAATACTAATAATTTTGCTTCTGTGACTTATCTCCCGATCACAGACGGCTATTTGAGCTAATGGGTTGGATGCGTAAGAGTGTATACGTAAACAATATATTTTGTAATTTGTTTTTAAATGATTATTGGCGATAAGTAAGGGCAATATGTTGAAAAAATAGATTACATAAATATTGTCATATTATTTCACAACAATTGTTAAATAAATATTTATTAAATAACTAAGAAAATATTATTACAAAAATCTATTAAAGACTGCATTTTAGGATTTTCTTTTATAATAAATTTGTTTTATATTATTGTAGTAGAGAGAAGTTCTATTACACCCATTCTATATAATGGAATACATATTTTTCAATTATATTTATTTCTTAAAAGTGAATACTAATGACAACAAAAGTATTGTCTCTTTTTCTTTTGTAAATAACTGCGATATATATTAATTTTTATAAATAATATAATAACCTCTATCTAACTTGATTATAAGATATAATATTTGGTTGGGCAAAAACTATTCGACGTTCTGTCGAATAATTTTTTCTAACACTTCCTATATATATTTTACTTTATAATAACATTTAAGCATCAAACTTAAGAAAATCTTTATTGATAATTAATTTGTTCCAAAAAAAAAAAATAAAAAAAGAAATTGCTAATTGCAATGGTAGATTTCAAGAGAGACGTAAATAAAAACCTTAAATACTTTTTACTCAACCGAATATATACATAATACATATATGATATATATTTATTGATCATAATTCAGGTACTTATTAATTTCCGATATATAGATAAGCATGCATTTACATTAATTAGAAGTGTAGGTAGGTTATATCGGCGATCCCAAGGGTTCCACTTAGACCTAATAGGCCCATTGTGTTACCGTATATTTAAAAAATTAGAAGTGTATGTATATAAAAAAAATGTTTACCGCTTCTGGTGTAACTTCAAAAGATGTAATATTTCTGTTAGTCATGGAAACCAATGCAGGCGATGTATAGGCGGACGAAAAACCCACTACCAGTGATCCAAGCGAAACACTGAGAGCAGCAAGTACCTTAAATGAAAAATAAGAAAATAATTAAAATTAATTATAAAAAAAAAAGTTTAATGCAAATAAATTTAATTAAATTGTTTAATTGGAAAAACATCTATAATCCACTAAAAAATTATAAACTAAAGAATCTATTATAATTATAGAAACATAGTATTATTAACTGTATTGTAATCTAAAATAACTAAACTAATGCTTGTGATACAACGAGAAAATTCAGCAAACTTTGTTATGGATAGGGTATTATTAAAGCCTTGAAAATGTAGAGAATATGCAACACGGGCTACATTCTATGAATCGAGTAGATTCTAATCCATTTTTCGTTGATTGTTTTAGTTTACTCTTAGCATCTGTAAAGATTTTAATGCTGTTAGTGTTCCAATAAGGAATGCCGCCTTAATTTTTTGTTGGCTTTTCTAGATAGATTTTATATATCTTTATCATATATTTTTGTACCACGGTCTTTTAACAATTTGCGGGTTATGTTTTGCTTTTATTTTATTTCTGTGATCAGCGGTCCATTAAAAATTTGCAGGTTGTCTTCTGCTTCTATTTTATTTCTGTGATATTATTTTCTAAATTTCAGAATGTAGTCCTCAGCAAGATTTTATCTCTGTGCATTACTTATTTGTAGTCGATTTCTTTATTTTCCTTTAGGTTTTACTTCCGTGCGCATTTCAATTTTGGTAGAATTCTTTATCTTGTTCAGCCCTTTCCCATTGGATTCATATCTATGTACATATTGAGCTACAATTTTCTAAAGCGTTGATTTTATTATCCTCCACATTTTACTTCTATACAATAACCGACTAAATACAAGTTGATTGCTGTGTTTCTGAATAAATTTGATTGAGTTGAGAAGTTGTAAAGTCATAACATATACGACGATCTTTCTTGTTGGGAACAGTGAACAGCACTTGGTCTTTTATACTGACAGGTTACAAGTTTCGGGACGTATACTCAATAGCTAATGGAACCAATTGTAACGTTGTTTTTATTGTAATTGTCTTTGTTAAACGGTGAAAGTGCAACTGAAGTCTTGCGTAGCAATAAATATAATGAAATGTTTACTCGCCGTCGTAGATGAGGTACTCTAAAAGTTTGATCCGATCATTTCTAGAATATAATTTCAGAGGCAGCCAAACAAAGCGAACATTTTCGAATTCTATGTGTTGTTTTTTTTTCTAGTTGTTGAACATTAGTAAGAGTAACTGTAAGATGTTGATCCAGCCACTTCTTGAACATGAGTTTAATTTAAGAATAATTGATATATAATTTTATTTTTTATCAATATAATTTTTTTTTTTACTTTATTTTATTATTATAATTTTATTTTATCACCAAACGAATACAACGCCAAACTGAATATTATTTGGTATAAGTCACTTCTGGAACATGAGTTGTAATGTCAAAATGTTTGATATTCAATGTTATATATTATCAAAAGATGAATATAAAACCAAACTAGTACTTGCATATCCTTTTCATGTCGTCTTTTTATTGTTCGATAAACTTTAGACAAGTATAATGAGCGGCACTTAATCATAGATGTTAAAGAGTAGTCCCGAGATATCGGTGCAGTCGCTATTAAAATTATTGTGCAAGTAATTCTTAGTAGTGATACGATCCTCCTCTTCAACTGTTCGTATGTGTTGTGGTTTAAAAAATCATCGATTGATTATTTTATATAGTTGAGTTCAATAAATTGTTCCGATATACATACATACATATATATGTTATTTTTTATTATATATATTTTTTCATGTTATAACATTATACAAGTAGTATATGGTATTATTTCCAATATGTATATACACTATCAAGAAAATGTTTATAATGCAATCATGTTTTTAGTAATTATAGTCAATTAACAGTTGTATTGTATGATCAGCCAAAAAATTCAATTAATTATATATAAAAATTTTGTTGTGGAATACATTACGGTTTTCTATTTAAAGGTTTTTTTTTTAAAAATATATATGTATTTTTTTAAAAAATTTATTTGAATAAAGAATTTATATTATTTCTTCTTATTACATTTATATTTATTTACATTATTTATTGTATAATATAATATTAATTCCCGTAGATCCAGATAACGTAATATTACATTTACTATATTACCAGAATGAATGTTTCTAACTACACTTAGCTTGCAATTAGTCACTTTTTTTAACATAATAATATTAATATTATATATATAATATATATTATTTTATTTTTCTTCCATTTCGCTGGGAGCCTACTATATTATTATTTTAAGGCCAATATTTTATAGTCAATAAATGAAGAATAAGAATTTGTGCCTCTCTTACATTTGTTAACATTTTCTTGACAAAACGTATGCATATTTTAATTAAATCTTTTAAGTACGAATATAAATTATTAATAAAATTAATTATTAACCTGTGTGTAAGTGCATTTCGCTTTCGGTTCGTCGACTGGCACTGAAAAGGATACGTGAGTATCCGCTCGCATAAGGATTTTCATGTCGAAGGATTTTTTTTTCAGTTGAATTTATTTAAATTTTTGTTAAACACACTTATTTTACTCTTTTATTTATTTTTATGAAATTTTTATTAAATTAATATGTAAATACATATATTATTTTGCATTTAATTACGATTTCCTTTGAAAAATTAATAAATAAATTTTCACTAAAATAAATTCGATTTAAATTTTGTAAATTCACTTTTACAAGAATTTTTACAAGATTTGTCCAATGAAATCGGAATCGTAGAATATTTCAGATATTTTCAACGAGCTGAACTTGAGCTTACGGCATCTACTGATCGTCGAGGTGAAAGAAAATCAAATTTTACGTTTCGTTCAATCTCAGTTTGATCTGTAAATTTCATAAACATTCTTATCTCTTCGAAGCGTTCTTGGGAAAACGTAATATTAAATACAAAATAATAAAATTCCAAAAGACTAAATTAAAAAAAAATTGCGAAAATATTAATATTAATTCAATTAAAAGTAATATGTAGCGCAACTTATTTTAATGACGGTAATTATTAATAGTGAATAGCTGTGAATGTACCAATTAAATAATTGTATCTACAGATTTTCTATTTAAATTCCTCTTATTATTTAGTATATAACATATTCCTATATATTTATATATATTATATGTAATTAAACAAAACAAAACGAATTTATTTAATTACTCATCAGCAATGGTTTTCTGTTAATTATTTTTATATATATAGTTAATATAGATTTTTTTTATTACTATTTTGTCTATTTCATTTAATTGATAAACTAATGTACACTATAATGAAATCTTTTTTGTTTTTGTTTTTTTATATTATTAATAATTATGTTTTATATATTTAATTGAATCACGACGAGTACGAATGCATCTTGATAGATAATTTTACAAATTCTATAAAACCGATCTGCTTGTTTTGTTTGGTTAGTACCAGTAAAATCTACACACGATTTCGTCGATCGTTGATTTGTATATACTTGAAGGACTTGTTCACTTGTGAAGCGTTAAACTGATAATGAAGATTAAAGTTCAATTATTTGCATTCATTTACTGTTAGCGTATCACATGGTCATATAGTAACAAAGTCACTAGACACACTATACACTACCGACTATACACTACATACATATATCATAGGTGTAGGCATGTGTGATAATTGATTAATTGCCCCCACATATTTTTCTTAGTATTTATTACTTATAAATACTCATAGTCCTTGCTTTGCAGTAAATTTTTAATTCATTAACTGAATTACTTAGCTTAGCAGTTTAGCTAGTTTATATCTATCGTCGTTTGTTCTACTAGTTTATGTGCTTCCATATATTTAAAAATAAATTGAATTTAAATTTAAATTTTCAAATTGATATTAAAATTTACTTAAATCAATTAACATCTGTGCTTACCTGTGTCCATATATAAATAGGATTTGTTGTCGGTCTATAGACTTCCAACTTTGGTTTGCCATCTTCTGTTATTTGTCTTATAAATGGTACTGAATTTCGTAAATTCTCATTCTTCTTTCTGCCCATTTCATCCATTTCGTAAAGGCGATGGCTATAATAAAAATATTAATGTATATATATTAATAATAAATAGTAAATAAATAATATGTATAATGTGTTAAGTTCTACAAAGGTCACATTCCGGAACTATTTTAACAACTATAATTCATGAATTTTTAAATAAACACTGGTACTGATATCATAATGTGTAATATTAATAATTGTATATATTATAAACAAATAAGAGTCTTCAAAAATAATATTTTCTACGATGAATATCATAGTCTCTAGGAATAGAAAAAAAATAAGCATCACGAAATGAAAGACTGATAATATGTTTTTGCTAGGTTAAGAAAAGTAGTAAGAACTTTTTAGAAGTAGTTTTTATAAAGTCAAGAAGAATACATAAAGAATTTATAACATTTTATACCAGTCTAAAAAAATTAGTAGGAAATTGTAGTAGTTTTCATAGAATTAAAAAAAAAGTATGAAAGTCTAAAAATAGTAGCAGGGATTTTCTTAGTAGTAGAGACGCAAAGCTATTGTTTCATAGTCTATGCTTGTCTCCAACTAGGCTTAAGCTCAAAGGCGCCCTATTTTTTGATACACTCAGCGATGTATCCAATATTAGAATTAGACAGATACTTACTTTCAACAACGCATCCGGTTAGTTTTAATATGCCCAATGTTCTACTCATTATATTAGGAGTAATGTAGCATCAAAATGGTTTTCTTGCTAAATGAACAGAATTCGATACAGAATTCACTTTTTTTTTATTATTATTTTATATTGTACCACTCTATATCGACTATTATAGTACAAGAAAAAATAATTGAGTAACTTAGAACTAAATCATTTATTCATTCAGCACAATCATTCCAAACTAAGGTAGTTACAAAAACCTAATCTACTATCTCGATATGTAGGGTTTCCGATATGAAAATCACAAATATAGATAGTGATTTCTTACTTCAAGAAATGGAAGATATATAATACGGAAAGCACTCTATTTTCAATAGTTGGCTACATCCGGGTGAAGTACTCTGCATTATTCACCCCTCTTTCTACATGCTACATTGTAGTGTACATTTAGTATATGGCAAAAAATATTGTTTATCTATAATACATATACAATCTTCTTGAAATTTAGTTTTTAATAATTAAATAGACATTTGCTCTATTGTAGCGTATTTTATTAAAAGTGAAAATATTAATAAAATTTTGGCACTATGTCATCTATTTTGACACGAGCAGATTTTTAATCACTTTGTTGTGTTGTGTATTTAAAAGTGATTAAAATTAGTTACTAACCGCATATTTTAGATTAGGTCTATTGATTGCCTGAAATAAATTTTGAAACAGGAATTTGTTTATAATTTATACTTGGGACTTTTCTTAGTGTTTCTAATTATATAGAATTAGAAAAAATTAATTAATTAGAAACGAAACTGTACTGAAATTGACTGCGTTATTATTATATTGGCGGGAATTTTTTGCACTATGACCTAGAGAGCTATTGTGTTCCTTGATGCAGTGATTTTTGGTATAAGTGGATATTTAACTAGATTGGCCAGTTTTGTTAATTATTAATAGTTAATTAACAGGAAAATAGGTAGATATAAGTAGCAGTCGCCATACATCATTAGGAAATCGATGTATATAGTCGAAATTAGAATGTAATTGGTTTTCTTAAGCATGTTTGAGGGCATTACAGTTGGCATTAAATGTGCCCGAATGAAAATGTGGATATAACTAATACTCATGAGATTTTTTTACAATTTCATTATCTCTCTAATGTGACTGTAAAAATTTAAGTAGATACTGATAAAATAACAAAAAATCTAAAATCTTGAACTTGATTAATAACATATCTATTATATTGAATATATATTAAGTTTAATGAAGTGCAATACATTCGGTTAGATTTAAAGTGCGCCCGTTGATGTGAACATCAACTCCTACAGTAGGAAA